TGTTCCTTTCGTCCCCATTTGAAGGACGACTGGGTTCTCCAATTGGAGAATTGGGATGTGGACCGCGCGGACAAAGTCTGGCATAAGCGTCCATTTCGGCTCCACTATCGAATAGTGCATAGGCTTTTATGCCTGCTATTTTTATGTGAGCCGTTAGCGTTCTCTTCGTTGAGAGCGGTCTGTTTGCGGGTATTTTCCCGTGTCTTTTGAGATGCGGAATTTCGCATCAAACAAGGGGGACTGGGTTTCGATGGACTTTTGGTCCTTCTTCCCTTTGTCCTTGTTTTCCTTGGGTACTTTGGTGTATTTCCCCAAGGCGTCTTTTCTTGGTGCTTCCACCAAGGCTTGGTGACTTTTTCGTCTGCCGTGTTTTCTAACTGGTGTGCTACAGCCAGTTTGATTTTATAATTTATGTCATCGTGGTCGATGACTGACATTGGGCCCATTCTTATGGTCCCGACGTTGACTTCCTCACCCTCTGAGTCGGGTGAGTATTGAGGTCCTTCGTATGGGTCCTCTACTTCGAAGCTTGATGCTTCGGAGTTACCAGAGTTGTTCTCTGGTTTCTCATCTGATGAGCCTTTCGACTCTTCATCCGTTGAGTTCGCGATCTCCATGGCAGCTATGCGCCTTGGTTTTTCATCGCTCGTTATATTGTGTCTTGGGCAATCTTTCGTTTGCCCTATTTTGCCGCATTTGCCGCAAATTGGAACTGACTTTTGGTCAGTTTTCCTCGAGTTTTTCGAGGATGTATCCTCTTTCCATCTGGGTTTCAGCTCTTCCGCCTTCTTTCCTGATGGGAGGGCTCTGCCGCGGCTCGTGGTTGCCGTGGTAGTTGTTCTGGTATAATAACCTGATTTGTAGGCTGAAGACATCTTCAGCCCGTCAATTATCTCGTCTACATGAGATATTGCTTTTAACATCTCCTCGTTTGAGGAGAAGTCTGCTCTGATTCTATCATGAGCAATCATTTCCCTCTTCCATTCGAGGGGAATGTAGTTTAGGAACCTGGCGTTGAAGGACGCCTGGTCTGGCGGCGTCACCATCTGGGACGCTGCTTTTGACAGTTCTAAGTAGAACTGTTTTAGGCCTTTTTCCGCTTCATATTTGACGTTGCGGTATTTCTTTGTCGCGTTCAACGCGGCGAGGCTTTGATGAAGGTTCTCATCAATATGTTGAGAACTTCGAGGAACATGCCCTCGTCTCCTCTGAGGAGAGTTTCGTCTCGGAGTCTAATTCCGAGGTCAAACGCGGGCCCCCCTAATCCACGAATCAAGCAGTCCAGGTGGACTTCGTCAAATTGGGGACCTTTGCATCCTCGCAAGGCGAGGAATCCCAGTAGTTCTGTGAACCACTGCCAGAACGATTCCATGTCGTTCTCCCCTGACCATTTCTTGTCAGGGAATGCCGGCCCATTCTTTAGGGCTTCTGGTTTCACTCCTTCTGGGTAGGGAGTGAGTATTCTCACTTCGGCCATTCTTATGGCCTTTTCGTACCATTTCTCCAGGTACTCTTCTTGCTCCCCTGCCTTCGCGGGGTCGCTATCCAATGGAGATCTCTCCTTTGGGGGGGTTTTTGCTGGGGGAAATCTTCCTCGCAGCGTTTCTTTGGTTTCAGGCGAATTCGCCTGAAGTTGTATTTGTATTCTCTCATTGTTTTGAGAGGGTGTGAATGAGTTACCTCTCTGTTCGAGAGGTCCGTCATAAGTGGACGTTTGGCCGAACCTTTGGTACGTGCCAATTCTCCTCCTAATCTCTGAACGATGCCTTCTTTCGGCATCGTCTTCTCCTATCCTTGGGAGAAGGATCTCCTTAGCGTCTCTGTCGAGTCGCTGATGATATTCCAGTGTGCTTTCACTGGTGGTTCTTTTCGTGAATTTTTCACGAGTTCTATTTATGTCCTGGACCGTGGTCCAGGGGTGTTTATTTGTTTCCTCACTTTTTTGTGAGAAATTTATTTCCTTCAGCAAATCTGTTTGTTCGCTGATTTTTTCAGTCAACGCGTCGATTGCGTTGGCCATTCTTTCTAGAGTTATCTCTAGACGAGCCATGCTATTATGGTTCATTTCCTCGATCTTTTTTTGGATCGAGTTTATCGCGTTTATTATGCGCGATTCCTGGTTTTCCAGGAGGAAGTTTGGTTGGGCGAGCAGAGACTCTCCCCAGTTGACATTTCCGCTTCTGGGGGTTCCAGAATGGGTTCTTGGAGTGAACACTCCACGCTCGCTTTGTTTAGGCGAGGCCGTTGTGGAGGGTGCTTCCCTTTCATAGAGGGGTTTGTTCGCTGGTTTTTCCTTACTTTTACGTAAGGCTTCCTCAGCGAACTCCCTCATTTCAGTTCGCCTCCTCTTCATTATCTCGGAGACCTCCTCCGAGGTTGGCAACCTTGCCTTGTCTGGCATGGTGTGTGGGAGTGTAAACAGCGGAAGTTCTTTTGGAGCTTCCCGCTCTGGGAGATCCTGCTCTCAGGGTGTATTTTCGCGCCTTCTCGGGCTTTCAGCCTGAGAAGAAGTTGATCTTCACTTTCCGTCCTCCATTCAGACGGAACCTGGAACAAGTCCAGTAGTTTTTCGGATAGCCGACGCAGGGGCTCTTCCCTTTGTTTCCCTTTGTCTGCCTTTGGGGCTTGACTTGGGGACGTGAGGGGGGGCTCCAGGGGATAGTGGGGCCCTGGAGTTTCCTGCGACTCTATCCGATCAGCTTTTTGGGCTGATCGTTTGGCGCTTATGCGTTTTTCGCGCAAGTCGATCACCTCGTGAGGAGGTGAGGGATCTTCCCCAGCTTGGGTTAGATCGGTATGTTGTGGAGTTCTGGGGGTATTTTGCCCCGCACTTACTCCACGTAAGTTTCTAAAACCTTCAGGGACCAGCCCTGAGGTGGTTGCTAATGCCGGATCATGTTGATCCTCGTCGTCGTCTGACGACGGCTTTTGGTTTGAATCTCCCATGATGGGAGATTGCGGTTTCTTTATAAACTGCTCGTTTCTTTTTAGTGTCGCTGCAGATGCGACCTTGCCCTTGCGGGCATGTTTAGGCGCCATAGGCGCTTCCAAGTCAGATGTTAAGATTGTAGAGTTGTGGGTTGTGTTGTAAAACACACCTCTTGCACTTAAAAAAGTGTGAGGTCTTAGGGTGGCTCAGCACACAAGGCTGTAAGTGATACAAGATAGTGTATTTTACGGTGGTGTGTAAGCAGTTACCCGGAGGTTCCCGCTTGCCCACGTGACTATATGTATCTAATTTACATGTGACTCAGGGTTCGGGGCTATTGCCCTGACAATTTCCCTGGTCCTCATCGCTCTTTTAGTTCTGTCGTACTTACCATCCTGCTCCCATCCCGCACTGGACCAACCGGCCCCTTCTCTGTTCTCCTTTCGTATTTATACTTGTAGTTTACTGTCGATGTACCTTAGTTCAAATATTGACTAGAATTCCCCCCAAGTACTCTCATCTTAAGTTCACCTCTCAACTTCATCCCTGCTTAAGTCAACGTCGCTGCAAGGTCTTTCCCACTAAACATGAAATACGGGACAGCCTAGAACGTGTGGCGCAACACTCTAGCCAAGTCGTTGAAGCCGAAGTCCCAACCCCCACGACGCCTTGCAACGGAGTAGCTCATTAGCTAAGTGACCACTCACACTGCTGTACTCCACTCCGCTTCCCGCAATCACCTCGAATACAGTTTCTGACAGAAGGAGACAAAGGGGATGGTGGATATATGGAGGTGTAGCTCATTGGTCGAGAGGGTCAAGGAGCTTATGACCATTCCTTGCTGGAGGGAGCGGAAGAGCTTTGGTTATGTAGAAGAATGGACGAGCAATGGGATGCATAGGGTAAGCAAACACACATTCATTACATGTCAATTGTTGAACTAGTTTCTGTCCTAGCTATACTTGGATTGTTATAGAATGGACCTAGAATCTTATGGTCCGTGTCCATAGATGATTAGATTGTTGGGAATTCACCACCTTACTTCACTGTCAAACCCCATGCCAAGCTTTCCCACTGGGTTGTGGTGCTGGCTGGGGGATTTGTTGAGTTTCAAGGGATTTCCTTTGACCTTTTATAACTTTTATATTAGATAGTTGAAAGTCATATGACATGTAAGGCAGATGCCGAAAGATGTTTTTCATTATCAAATACATAACCCACAAACCTTGTACCGCGATTGTAACTTCCTCACCATTGTGCCACCACTGTAAACTCAACCTGTAACCCTGGAACCATGTCCACCTCCCTATTCATCCTCTCCATGACAAAACTGCAACGAGGAGGGCATTCCCATGCCCAACCTCCTGCTGCCCACTCCCACCAGTCCACTGGGTGGTCAAGTGGTTACTCCCATCCAACCAGAAGTTCCCTACCAGGAACTGTAGCCTATCCCACCTCCTCAGGAGAAGGATATGGTCCAGGCAGCTCCAGGATGCTTGGCCATGCACCTGCGGGTCCCACTTCCCACGGTCACCCACTACCGTGCACTGGTCCACCAGCCCGCTTTCCCCAACAACTCCTGCTACCGGTACGCTCCCATGAGTGCCAAGTCACCGATAGCCACCAACTGGGTGACTCCCTTTGGGAGTCCCAGTATCCCTCACTACTGGTACGCTCCATTGAGCACCAAGTCACCACTAGCCAAACACTACCGGCACGCTCCCAGGAGTGCCAAGTCCCCGTTAGCAGACAGCCAGGTGGCTCCCTCAAGGAGCCCACATCATACTCGCTACCGGTACGCTCCCAGGAGCGCCAAGTTACCGTTGGCCAACCCACAGGTTGTACTTCCATACACTCATCCTATTCCACTCTCCCTCCGATGGCTACGCAGCCACCTCCATTAGTGAGCCAAACGGTTCAGGTTGGGTTCCCCGGAACCCATTCCTGTAACATGGATGTGCTGAAGATCCACATTGCACAGCTAACACAGCTAGTGCACCCTCTGGACATCACCACCATCACAAAGGAACAGCTAAAAGTTTCCCACCCAATATGGCTCAAGTCACCTCCCATGTGGCGGTCTCTGGAGAAAGAGAGCAATGAGGTGTATGCAGGAGAGGCCCTTGAGCATGCAAAGCTGGTCCCTGCTGATCTGACAGTGTGTTGCAACCCAAGGGATGTGAGAGATGGGTGTTTGACTGCCATCATGTGAGTTCCATGGGCTGATTGTTGGCATTGGGTTGAATGTTTCTCAGGTTCTTCATCCTGAATATGTCCAAGCAAAAAAATCAAACCTGAACTATGAGATGGCCAAGATACATTGGTCCTTTGCACTGGTAAGTGCATATGATGTGGATCAAATGCATTCAAGGAGGTTGATGGGTAGCCACACAGTTCAGGTTCATTGTCTTTGAGCCTGAAAAACTCAAATCGATGAGCACTCATGGTGGAAGTAGGAGGCAAGGAGACATGGACCACTTTTGTTTCACAGAGGACAACCCATTCTTGTTTTGGGACACTGCCATCCCACTTTGGTGCAGGAAATTGGTGTTGAAGGAGAGGGTGTAAGTATTTTGGATGGGCTGGGTGTTTGATTGGCTGACTATCGATTACAGGTGGTGGAAATGCTGGCCTAGACACCATCAATACACAATGCTGCAGTAAAAGCAACGACCAAAGGAGCAAGCAAGGCTGGACAAACCGAACTCGCAATGGAAACAGTGAAGCTCTTTGATTGCTCTACTATCAGTCGAATGATCAAAGAAAGTATGTCATGGTGGTCTTTGTTGCAGTGCTTTGTCCCCCTGTCATGCAGGAAGTCCTCCTACACCTTCACATCTGGGGTTACAATGGAACCCTATTCTCCACAGCGCCATCATGAGTACCAACAAAAGGGAATGGAGATAGTGGGACAAGTCAACACTGCAAGAGAGCAGCAAGACACCACTTTGGTCCACCTGAACCAAATCAACCAGGAGATAGAGACTTTGGTGTCAACGAAAATGGACTTGGAAGCAAGGTGCTCTGGGTTGGACCTAGAAGAAGAATGGCTGGATGAGAATGAAGGGTTCATCCATGAGAGAGCCTTCATGGATCCCATGAATTTTCATGAAACATCATAAAGGTTCATGAACCTTTATGTTTATATACAATATTTATATTGAAATCATTAATTTTCAACCCAAAAAGTTGATTTTTTTTGGCAAGCATGAACCTTCATGAAAATTTTCATGAAGCAGCATGGAATTTCATGCTGTTTCATGAAACTTCATGACTGCTGACTTCATGAAAAGTCATGAAGCTATGCATCATGAATCTTCATGCAGAGCCATGAATGTCCATGAAGCCATGAATGTCCATGAATGTCCCTGCATGGTCATGAGCATGCCCAACAATTCCCATACCTGCACATGAATGCTCATGATCCTTCATGAATATTCCCGACTCTTCATGGAGAGTCATGACTGAGCAGCACATGGCTTGAGTGTGCAAGGTGCAACCAAATTTCCCCCCATTTGTCTCTCCTGTCATATCCATCACCTTCTGTCACCTCCAGCCATCCCAGATTTCCTCTGCTCCTTCATCTCCAACCTCAGAGCCCCCAGATCCTGCAATCTCCTCCGACTCCCCTGATGGTCACCACCCACCCATTTCAACATATTACCTATGTACAGAACTCCGAAGGTCTCCAGACAGCTCCAACATCTGCAAGTGCACCCCTGCCTCTGCTGGGTCATTTAGTTGCCTACCCTGCAAGTCCACCTTTGGACCGATCCATCCATTCCACTTCTGGGTTATAGCCCATTAACCCTGTAACCCAAGTCATCAGTAGTATTCAGTCAGCTACTTGACCCCGTTAGGTCAGCTCCATCCAGCCCCTGCCATTTATGGGCCTGCTGCCTAGACTCCCTCTGTATCTATATATACATAACTTGTAGTTACTGTACACCTCAGTGAACAAATCGACTAGAGTTAATCCCCCTGTTCTAGAAGACTCCTCAGTCCGTAAATTAGGGCACCAACATGATACTGGGCACAGTGCTCCTGGTAGAGTCGCTGAGGCCATAGCCCTCCAAACATAGAGTCATTTTCATTTGTCCCAAATCTGGTCTTTGACATCTCCTTCAATTCTCCATCAAATGTTATGGGGTAGGTACCATTTTTGTCACATGAATTAAGGCTTTTTTCTGTATCTCATTGTGATGCAATAGTCCCCAATTATATGAAGGAATTTGGATGAGCTGGTTCACTATATGTGCACTTATTCTGTTTACTGTGCTCTCAAAAAATACAGAAAATACTTTGGGTTATATTCTTCTTCATGGAAAGTCATGCACATTCATGAACATTCATAAGAAGGCATGGGGGTGCATAATGTGTCAATTTCCAACTTGAACTGGTTATATTCGGTCATGAAAGTTCATGAAAACTTTCATGAGACTGCATGACTGTGTATGCTCCTGCATGAACCCTCATGAATCCTCATGAATCTCTGTGCAGCTTCACAAAACTGCATGAATTCATGACCCTTCATGACTTGGGATTACACTTTTTCGCAGTTACTGGATCTCCCCATGTTTCCATCTCCTGATCCCACTCAAAGCACAGTTCCGACCTTCCTCCCCACTCAATGAGTTGAGGATTGTTATGATGGCAGTCAACCCAGTGGCATGCCAATGGAAGATGGACCAGATGTCAAAGATCATTTTATTATCCACTTCCAACTTCGAACTCATGTTGACAGCTTCTTCCAAAATGCACTGGGCAAGTATGCAAGCCACCAGTCAGCTCAGAACCTGCAGCAGTTCTTCACCACCTTGCTTGGGGATGATGCAACTTCATGGTCCATCATGAAGGGGGACTGGAGCATAGGAGGGACCAAGGAAGAATCAAGCAGTATGGGAGGCCAAATCGCTCACTCGTCCCCAACCAATAGCCACACTCCCTCCCTGGAAAGGCCACATCCATTGATCAGCAAACAACCTGTAGTGGAAACTGATGGTAATGGAGCACAGCCAAGGAACCCCCCCCATCCTACAAGTCCCTTCCTTGTACCCTGAAGCAACATTTATCAGGGGAAGGCCATGATGGGACCACAGCAAAGAGACAAAGGGGAACACAGCTGGCAGGTCCCAGTGGCACCCGCCAGCAGGTAGTTTTGGTGGAATCACACCAGAGACAAAGGATGTTGATGAATCCATGCAGGGTAACATCTGCATGGTTTGTGATGCATTCAAGAACATGGGCTGGGTCCACCAGGGGACAATCACAATGGCCCAATTGATGATAACCTCATTAATGCATAGAATGCATTTGAAATCTGTAAGTTGTATACAATAATATTCTTGATGCAGGATAATAATAGATACCAACCTGCTGCTTAGGCACTACAGTGCCACTCAATACTTTCATCTCTCAACCATGTCATTAGCAGAGAGCAGAAGGACATTGGCAAGATGACAATCAAGGGTTCACTGTATGACAATGACCTTGATGTCAAAGAGTGGTTGCAATCATCTGGGTGGGAGTTCAGCCCAATGTTTTACAAAGGACTGGTAAGTGTTATGGAAATGGAGAATCTTATGGTCCATGACAGGCAACCAGACCTTGAGGCCCCTTGCTATGGAAATGGGCCTAGACTCCTATAGACCAGGCACACAGGTAAGATATTTCTTACTTCTTCTCACTTCATTCTCTGCCAAACCCCATGCCAAGCTTTCCCACTGGGTTTTGGTGCTGGCTGGGGGATTTGTTGATTTCCAAGGGACTTCCTTTGGCCATTATAACATTTGTATTAGATAGATACAAGTCATATGACATGTATGGTAATTGCTGAGATGTTTTCTCATTATTGAATACATAACCCACAAACCTTGTACCGCAATTGTAACATCCTCACCATTGTGCCACCACTGTAAACTCAACCTGTAACCTTGGAACCATGTCCACCTCCCTATTCATCCTCTCCATGACAAAACCACAACGAGGAGGGCATTCCCACGCCCAACCTCCTCCTGCCTGCTCCCACCAGTCCACCAGGTGGTTGAGCAGTCACTCCCCTCCAACCAGAAGTTCCCTATCAGGAACTGTAGCCTATCCCACCTCCTTAGGAGAGGGATATGGTCCAGGCAGCTCCAGGATGCCTGGCCACACACCCGCGGGTCCCACTTCCCACGGTCACCACTACTGTGCACTGGTCCACCAGCCCACTTCCCCCAACAACTCCCGCTACCAGTACGCTCCCGTGAGTGCCAAGTCACCGATAGCCACCAACTGGGTGACTCCCTTTGGGAGTCCCAGTATCCCACGCTACTGGTATGCTCCATTGAGTGCCAAGTCACCGCTAGCCAACCACTCCCAGCACACCCGCTACCAGCATGCTCCTGGGAGCGCCAAGTCCCCATTAGCAGACAGCCAGGTGGCTCCCTCAAGGAGCCCACGTCATACTTGCTACCGGTACGCTCCCAGGAGCGCCAAGTTACCGTTGGCCAACCCACAGGTTGTACTTCCAGATACTCATCCCATTCCACTCTCCCTCCTCTGGCTATGCAGCCACCTCCATTAGTGAGCCAAACGGTTCAGGTTGGGTTCCCTGGAACCCATTCCTGTAACAGTAAGATAATAATATTGATCATGATCTCAATTGCTTAGTGATCTACTGTTCAGCAACAGTCCACTAACTCCAAACCACTCCCTGACTTCCTGAAAGGGAGTAATGATTTTAACACTGTGGTCAAAGTGAGTTCACTCAACTGTTTGATGATTCTGGGCATCCCACTCAATAATTATGAATGTCCACCACATTGTATCCAGGCCAATCATGACACTGTGATGAAGGATCTGGAGGAGAAAGAGGATGAGGACAAGGAGGACGAGGATGAGGATGAGGAAGAGGACAAGGAGGACAAGGAGGAGGAGGAGGAGGAGGGTGAGGACAAGGATCATGAGGGAGATGAGGATGATGTCAGGGGTAACCCTGCGGCATTGTCCTCACCTCTCACTTTGCTAGGTGACACACCTCCACCACCCACCAAACGTCCTTGCCCTCCTGGGTCCTTACCAACATCTACATCTTCCATGCCAACCAAACGTGGCAGAACTGCTGCTGACCCAACCCCAATTGTTTCTGTGCCCACCTGACAGAGGGCTCAAGGCACCTCCAAGACAACTGGTCCCTCATTGTCAAAAACGAAACAGAAAGGTGATGATGGAGACCTGGTGCCAAACACCACTGGTCTCAAAAGGCTTGGGGAGTGAGTCCCTCTTCCACTGGTTGTCATGATGATTGTATTCTTGTATATGCAATATGATGTTGTATTCATGATGTTCACCCACATGCATAAATAAAAGTCATGAGGTTTCAGCGGCAATAGCCTATTGGCAGGTTCTTCTATAGATTGAGCATCTGCCTCAGGGTGCCAGACTTCAGGCAAGGTTTGATTGCAGACAGCTGTTTGTCGCTGTGGAACCAAGCTGCAAAGTTCCTCATCGCATCTGGGGTTGGGGGTGGGTCCTGTTCCAGTACATCCAGCACCACAGGCATGAAGTCTGCCCATGTCAGAGGTGCTTTGGCCTGTTGAAGGTTATCCTCCAACAACCAGGATCAAAACATGTTCCCATCCTGAGAGACCTCTGCAATCATGTGTTGTGTGTGGTTAGCGAATGGAATGCATACATGTCATAGATATCCTTACTCTTTCCATATAATGCTACCAACCACCATGCATTGGAGGATGCATGGATTGATCAGATCTGTGTGGCTGACAGATGGCATTCATGTTCCTTGACCGGAAGGTCCTGGATATACCCAAGCTCCACAGCAAATCCACCTCAATCGAGTCGTCTGTGGGCAGGAGCCCAGCCATGGTGTACTGCTCAATGTCCTTTGTCACCATGTGGCCCCAGGAGTGGTGCTCTGCCACCCAATGCCAGGTGACCTCATGGTTGTGTGGCAGGAGGTCCATTCTGGACAATGGGACCTATGATTGGAAGAGAGTTGGAAGGGTTGGATGAAACAAAAAGGGAAAACTCGACATCCCTTTGCAACCCTTTGAACAATGCATGCTTCAATGCATCATAGTCAGCCTGGGACATGGGGATGGTGTTAGAGGCAGAAGGGTTGGAGGTGGAAGCCATAACTGGAGGAAAATAATGGGCAAGTGGATCTTACATACCATTATTAGATGTGACTGTGATGATGATTCTGCAACTGTGATAGTGATTCTGTGATGGTGATTCTGTGATGTGATTCCATATGAAAGGGGCCAACTCATATCATAACCCCATGAAAGAAATGTGGCAGTGCTCCCACCTTATGCATCAAGATAAATTTTTCTTGATCATGTGGCACATCAACACACATGGCATCATGAATAAATTATGGAGAAAAATGGAAAATATCGTCACAAAAATCGGACTCAAGGTGCCTCATCATTTCTTACAAGGGATAGGAGTTTGCAGGGGATTTTACAGGTGGTTAGACATAGTTAACAAGTGGGGTTCCTGCATACATAGCAGTTTCCCCCTGGTGAAAATTTCACCTGTCTTGGTGCCACATGATCAAGAAAATATTTACTTGATCACCTGATTTGCAGATCCAGAAGGTATAAAGGTGGGATTCACTGCCTCTGTTTCCTCTTTACCACCTCAACTTCCTCTTTACCTACCTTCACTCCCTCTTCAGATGTGAGTTTGGGACAGCTTTGAGGGAGTCCATCACTGACACAGGCTGCCCATAGGATGAATGCACTTCCAAACAAAACTCTTTGTGAAATCACAGAGCATTGCACTGGCATGCTCCAGACCCTACTCGCACTTTCCCTGGTTTCCCAATGTCTTCATGCCACTGTTCAGTCACACATCTACAGATTCGTTTCGATCATGGAAGGTAATCTTCATCAGTTCATTTGTACCCTCATGGATTGACCAGATCTGGGGGCATTGGTCTACTGGGCAGAGATAGAGTGGGACCATCAGGGTCAGCCCTCAGTCGATCCAGAGGAAGTCGACTCCATGCAACAAGCTGGGGAAGAGTTGGGTGTAGACTCTCTCACCATCTCTGGGTCATGCCACACATACTTTGCATTGATGCTCCATTTGGTCCCCAACTTGAGGGTCCTATCCATTTGCATACCAGAATCGCCTTATTTCTGGCATGGGCCCGGAGACCTAACCAAATGGGTCAACCAAAGGATCACTGCAGGGCGTTGTTCTCTGAGGGAAATCTCCCTGTTCTGGGATGGGTTCAGGATGGATGACATCATGCCTTTGATTCATCTCCCAAACCTGTCTACCATCTCTCTATGTGGGTTCATCATGGTATAGCAGCTCAGCTTATAGGCACTCCTGAGTCAAACTGTAGTGTTAATACACAAGTAGTAAGAGTTAAAGTTCAACTTCATGTGACTATATAGAGAGAAGAATAGAAGAGAAACAAAGGAAGCAAGAGGTAGATAGACTACAACACTCCCCCTCAATCTAGCTCCTGTCTTTCAAGCCCCAATAAAGAGCATTGTTGTTGATGAAGGTCTTTTGTAAGAGCCTTTGTCAGAATGTCAGAACTTTTATCACTTGATGGCACCCATTCTATCCTCAACTTCCCCAAACCTACCTGATCCCTAATCCAATAATACTTGGTGTCCAGGTGCTTCATCTTCCCATGGTGCTCTGGATTCTTTGCCACCTTAATCGATGATTGGTTGTCCATTTGAAGGGGGAATGATGAGGCCTGAGGGAATCCAAGTTCTTCCAGTAGGTGGGTTAGCCAAGTCCCATCAGATGCGCCAGAATTGGCTGCAATTAACTCTGCCTCAGTGGTGGACTTAGCCACTACATCTCAGCGACGACTTGACCAGTTGACACAAGAAGCCCCAATGAAGGAGGCATAGCCAGAGGTAGATCTAGCCTTCTCAGTGTCACCAGCATAGTCAGAGTCAGAGAAGACTGAGAGATTGACTTCCCCTACACTTGAGGAACCAAATTCAAGGCAAAAATCAAAAATCTGAAGTACCTTTAAGATATTGGAACACCCTCTGAATGGCCTTCCAGTGAACCTTGGCTGGGCAGGAATTAAAGTGACTTAGAAGCCCAACTGCATATGCAATGTCAGGCCTTGTCCCAATAGCCAAATACATGAGGCTCCCAACAGCACTCAAGTATGGAACACCAGACATGAACTCCTTCTCCTCCTGGGACATAGAATCAATTTTGGAAAGGGAGATGGAGGGATCAAGGGGGGTAGAAACTGGCCTGGAGTGTTCATGGTGGAAATGTTGAAGGATGTCAAGGGTATGTTTATGTTGGGAGACCCAGAGCTTGCGATGTGAGCGATTTCGACGAATTTCAAGCCCTAGGATGTACTTTAGCTCCCCCCAGATCCTGCATTTCAAACTTGGACTGGAATTTCGACTTGAGCTCATTGCAAGCAGTCAGGTCATTGCATGCAAGTGTGAGATCATCGACATAGACAGGAATAATGACCTTGACCTTGTCCTTAGCCCAAACCCAGATGGAGTTATCACTGGGACACCTTTTAAAGCCCAAATCCGAGAAGGTCCCATGTAGCTTCTGGTACCATTGCCTAGGACTTTGTTTTGGACCATAAAGTGACTTCTTCAGATGGCAGACCAAGTGTTTCTTTCCAGGTTCAACAAACCCTTCAGGTTGCACCATGTGCTCCGGAGTCAGTTTCGGAGTTCTGGGAGCCTGGAGCAGAGGTCAGGATTGTATGGATATGACAGGGTCCATTCTCTGCCCCATACAGTTCTATTCCACTCACTGCATGCTGCAGTGTAAATTATGTGGTCCTGAAATCAGAGTGTGCAGTGGGTTTATAGAGCAAAAATGAATCTCAGGCTTCATCTCAGCCAATAGCAACGTTGAGAGTGAACATGCATGCAATTGTAAGAGTAGTGGAATCTGCTGCTTCAGGCAGCGTTCCCCAGTTATGCATCAATTGAGGCATTGTTGTGGGGACAAGTCCATGCACCGCAAAAAGTCGGATTCTGTGGATTCTACCCAACAATGCACACTACATACCTGCCAAGGCTTCCATTTGCTCATTCCCTTACTATCCAACACTCCATACACTCATTCCTTATTTTTCCTTATTTTTCCCAACATCCCCAACAGTCCCAAGTCAATTTTCCCATGCCAAACCACACTGCCAATTTCACCCCCTCCCCAGACCTCCATAACCACACATCAAACCCAGCCATTTTCCTTCTGTTGGTGATGCTCTACCTTCCCTCTTTGCCCATGGAGCATTTCCCAGAATGGAAATCCCATACTTGGATGGTTCAGCACAGTGTAGAGCCTCACATGGTCGTGACAGCACCTGTCAATGGCCATCTTAGGAACTACTGCACCAATTGGGACAAATGAGGGTTCGTTGGAAAGCTGGAGACGAGGAGGTTGCTTACTACAGGCAGTGAAAGTACCGAGATCGGTCTGTGAAGCTCAGGGGTGACAGAGCTTACGGAGCTTACAGAGATGGAGTTGGAAGTCTGAAGGGTATTGGCAATGGTGTTTACATAGGATGAGGTCACCAATGCAATGGACTTAAGCCAAAGTGGAGTCAAAGTCTGAGGTTGGGACCATGATGGAATCTCAGAGCGAAGGTATGAGTGGTGTCCAAGTATGGGTACAGGATGGCAGCGGAAGGTCGTAACTTGGTGGAGGTTGGCAGAAGGGGGATGGAAGGAGAGGAGTGAGGAGGGGGGTGAGGAGGGAGTGAGGAGAGGAGTGAGGAGAGAGGTGGTGTTAGGTTTGAAGGTGGATATTGGAGTGGATGGGGATAGGGTAGGATATTAGAGGTGGTGAAGTCGAGGGTCCGGAAGTCGAATCAGGATCAGGTATGTACAGATATGACAGACACTGCTCATACCTTCGCTCCGAGATTCCATCATGGTCCCAACCTCAGACTTTGACTCCACCTCAGCTTAAGTCCATTGCATTGGTGACCTCATTCCATGTAAACACCATTGCCAATATTCCTCGGACTTCCAACTCTGCCTCTGCAACCTCCATAAGCTCCACTACCTCTGAGCTTCACAGACCATTCTTGGCACCTTCACTGCTTGTAGTGTCACAGCCATGCATTCTGGCCCGTTCCCTGCCTGTCCCAATGCTGCCTGAGCCCA